TTGGGGCCTTTTTGTCTCCTTGGACTAGGGGGTAATGCTTCTACCAGTCCTCACATAAAGACTGGTTCGTAGAGATGTTAGTATACAGGCTTAAGACACACTCCTCTATGGAATCTGGTAGGGTTAGTGGCACCATCCCCAGATGTGGTCTGGCATGTCCACACACATAGCAGTTGGACTTATTATGCGAGTTTGCATTGTATCTCATCCATTCTAACCACAGATTAGTGTCTGAGAAGCCGGTTTCTACTGCTATGGTATTTTCATATGTAGGGTTTGCTATGGCCACCATCTCTGCCAACGTTTTGATCTTTGGCATAAGTGGGTTGTGGGTGGGAGCGGTATTTCTGGAAGATTCCCATCGTTTTGACCCATACATATCCTTTATCCAGAATTTTCCCATCATTCCCCCATGTGCCCCTGCCAACCAATGTCCCAAACAGTAAAGCCCCTCATCTCCTGGGCTGTGGTTCTCCAGTGTCCACCTCAGGATCTGGAATGTAGGAGAAAACTTGTGCATGGATATTAGTCAACACACGTGCCAAAGATATCACATACTTTGTCAATGAGTCAGACTGCAATTGTAATCGTTGAGGATAGTAGGTACCCAGTCTAGGGGCGGACCCAAACAAAATCTCATAGGGAGACAACCCATGACTTCCCCTTGGTGTGTATCTAACACTAAAGAGAGCAAAAGGGAAGCTGTCCGGCCATCCCATGCCTACCTTTTGGGCCATTTTTAACATTCTTGACTTCAGGACCCCATTCAGGCGCTCTACCTTCCCACTACTCTGGGGATGATAGGGTGTGTGAAACGCAAGTGTGACCCCCAGAGCCCCCCAGATCTCTTTTGTGACATTGGCAATAAAAGCCGGTCCCTGATCGCTTTCAACCACCTCGGGCACCCCATATCTGCAGACTATCTCCGTGAGCAGCTTCTTGGCAGTGGTTCTTGCCGTCTGGTTGGTTACTGCGAATGCCTCTGGCCATCCTGAGAACATATCCACCACCACTAAGGCATATTCGAACAGTCCACTTTTTGGCATCTGGATGTGATCTATCTGGATCCTTTGGAATGGGTATAACGTCTTGGCCAGATGTTTGTTGGGAGGTTTCTCAGGTCTTCCAGGGTTGCACTTGGCACACACAACACAAGACTTACAGAATCTTTCTGTGTAAGCCGTAATTCTGGGTGCCACGTAGAACTTGTTGATCAAGGAGTTCATTAACATCTTGGACAGGTGTGACGCCCCATGTGCCGACTGCACTGTCGCCGGATATAAGGATCTGGGGAGCAAAACCTTCTTCCCCAGCACCCACAACTCTTTGTCCTCAACTGCTCCTTTCTGTATCCATTCCTTCCTCTCTGCTTCTGAAGCATTATCCTGGGCTTCCTGGAGTTGGCTGTCCTTGGGCTGATGAATTAACACAGGCACCACCTCACTGCACATCTCTTCATCCTCTTCCTGCTCCCTGACCGCAGCTTGCTTAGCAGCCATGTCTTCGGTGACATCTTCTGTTTCTTCTACCCCCCCCTCTGGAAGAGGAAGAAGAGTTGCAGGATTTATCTGGGTGCATCTGACCAGGGTAAACATGATCAGGCAGGAGGAGGGAGCCTTGTAGTACCATTGTGTCGGTAGTCACATCATATCCAGTGTGGTAGGTGCCAGCATTATCTGCAAAGCGGGATCCATCCACAAAGAGTATTAGGTCAGGATTTGATAGGGGCGTATCATGGACTGTTGGTAGGTGTGTAGTTTCTGCCTGCATAAGTTCCAAACAGTCATGTGCCATATCCTCTGGTGCCATGTCTGCCAGATGATTTCCTTTTGCTTCCATAGTGGTCAATTTACCGTGGGCCTTCACCTTCAGTATGGCCACTTCAGCTGGTAGTAAGAGTGCTTCCATAAGGTGGTCGATCGCCTTTCCATGCTTTACAGGAGTCCCAGCTGCCATGAGGAAGCCCCTCATTTTCCAGATTAGACCAAAGTCAAGTGCAACGCCCAATGCATATCTGGAGTCCGTGTAAATGTTAGCTGTCTTTCCTTTTGTTAACTCACAGGCTTTGGTGAGGGCCCTTAGTTCAGCCTCTTGTGCAGACATAAAAGGTGGAAGAGGTCTAGCTTGCTTGTAGTCACAGATGTCTGGCAGCAGATAGATGTTTGGGTTGGGTTTGATTCAATATTGCAGTGATGTCATGGGGGGCCAGAAATGTGAGGGGGTGTCCTAGGACCAAGTCTGCCGTCTTATCCAGGAGAAGATGGGCAGCAAAAACAGCCTTCAGACAGGAGGGACCACCCTGTGCAACTGGGTCCAGCCTGCCGGAGTAATAGCCTAGAGGCCGGAGGTGACCTCCATAGCGTTGTGCCAGGACTCCTGTTGCATGACCCTGCCTCTCAGCCACAAAGAGTTTGAAGGCCTCATCGTAATCTGGTAGGCCTAGTGCAGGTGCAGTGGAAATGGCCTTTTTCAGGCGCTGGAAGTCAAGTACAGCTTCTTCTGTCAGGATGAAGGGTTCAGATTTCAGGGCATCATAAAGGGATTGTTTTAAGATGGAGGCTTCTGGGATCCAGGAACGACAATGGTCCCTGAAAGCATGCAAGGCTTTTGGTCCCTGAGGTATTGGGACATTGTGGATAGCCCGTACTCTATCCGGTGTGAGATGACGAGTGGCTTGGGAAATGCAATGTCCCAAGAAGATGACAGAAGTTTGGCACCACTGTAACTTGTCCTTGGAAACTTTGCAGCCCTGTTCAGCCAGGTGGTGGAGGAGGCTCAAAGAGGCGATTTTTCCTTCAGAGTGGTCAGTGGCACATAGGAGCAAGTCGTTCACGTACTGGAGCACTATGACTTCCGGTTGTGATTGTTGCCAGGTGCTGAGGATGGTTGCCATGGCCTTTGTAAATTGGCTTGGCGAATTCTGGGCCCCTTGGGCATAACTCTCCAGGTATACTGTCGGCCGGCATGAGTAAAGGCGAAGAGGTACATGCAGTAGGGGTCCAGTTGGACACTGAAGAAGGCATTGGCCAAGTCAATAACTGTGAACACTTGGGCTGTGGGAGGTACCCCTGCAAGCAGGGTGTGGGGGTTTGGCACAATGGGGGTTTCCAAAATAGTTGCCTCATTGACTGCTCTCAGATCTTGAACCATGCGATATTTGGTGGGCTCACCCTTTGGAGTTTTTTTCTTCACTGGGAAAAGAGGTGTATTTGCATGGGGACACACAGGGAATCAATGCCCCATTTTCCAGAAGTACATTGACTTGTTTGGAGATGGCGTCCATCTGGGCCTGCTTCAGAGGGTATTGAGGCTTCCTTGGCAATGGTGCTCCGGGCTTAAGCTGGACTAACCCTGGAGTAACTTTCAGATGGCCAATATCCTCAGGGCCGGTGGACCAGAGAGTGAGTGGCAGCTCCTGTAAGGCCTGTTCTACATGGTCTGGTAAGGGGCGGCCTGAAACTTCCTGTAGAGACATCATCAGTGGTAATGAACACAGAGCCGAGGTGTCCTCCTCTCCCAGGGGGAGTGGAGAGCTAAATGGTGCCATCTGGTTGGTAGGATATAGTTGCTTGCAACCTGGATAAGACATCAGCTCCCAGTAGGTTCAACGGGCAAGTGTTTGACACCACAAAACGAGACAGAAGATTGGGTAAGGTGCCAATATGTAGAGGTTTTGTAAGCCAACTGCGTTGTGGGCAGCCGTCCACTCCAACACAGGAGACATCAATGTTTGAGAGGTATGTCTCATTGGGTAGATCTTCTCTCCATAAAACGCTTCTGGCTGCACCTGTGTCCACTAGGAATTGTGTAGGATGTCCCTCAATGGGGACAGTGACCTTTGCTAGGGGCCCACTAGCACAATGTCCATGAGAAGAAACAGCCATAAGGGGGTGGACACAGGCTTGCCTCTGTCCTATTGAAGAAGGTTCAGATGTGGGTCGTGGAGATGGTGGCATTGCAGACTCTTCCCACCCTGAGTTGTAGTCATTGAGTCGCCGTGGACGTCTGGGAGTTCTGCATTCCCTTCTGAAATGTCCTGGTTTTCCACAGTTGAAGCAAACAAGTGGGTTTCTTCTGGGGACCTGCTCTCCAGTTGACCACATGAGTGGTGTCGGCTTCCGGGTCATCTTGGCCACTTCCAGACCTTTTGCAACCAGCAGTAGTATATCCAGGCTAAGGGTGCGATATTCCGGGCAGGCGACTATCAAACCCTTGCGGACAGACTCCTTTAGTCCTGATACAAATGCGGAGGCCAGCATTTGGGTATGTACCTTGTTATGGACACTGAATCCCAGGTCTGTAAACACCTGTGTCAGTCTGGTATGGAATTTTTCCACCGACTCTGTCTTATCTTGGGTAATATCCTGCAACGTGGTGGCCTGGTCTGCTAGTCTCTCTGGCCCCACTGCTGCAACTGGTCACAGAAGGAAGTTCCTGAGGCATAAGTGGTGTCCTCATTTGGCCTTACTCTGATGAGTCTTTTCCATTATAGGCCAATATGCATCCCCAGCCTTGATCTCACAGGTCTTGTGGATCTGGGCTATGCGTCGATAGAAAGGCATCGGGTCTTTCTCCGGGTCCGGGAGAGTTGTGACCAGCGAAGATGCTTGGGATGAGGTGAAGGCCACATACATGATAGGGGCATCAGGTATGGGGTAAGTAGGGGAGTGGGGGGGCTGGGGCATCGTGCCTGTCCCCATATCAGACTCATACATAGGTAGTCTTTGGCGGGGGGGAATACGTAGTCTGGGCGAGTGGTTGGATGAGCGGCTTGGTTTCTGGATCTGGACTGCGGCCTTCCGGGGGTGGGTAGTCCTGTTGGGGGCAGATGGAGCTGGCATCATCTGCCTGTGTGACCCGGCGATCTGCCGTAGCTGCTGTCACTTCTCCCTTCTTCTATCTATTTGGGGGGTCAGGGAGTCCGGGTCGGTAAACTTCCAGCCCTTCCATGTCCTGGGGCATTTTTGGTTTATACTGGTCTGAGGTTACTACAGGCATTAGGGGTGTATGGAGCGCCGAAGGTGGTTGGGAGCCAGAGACAGTAAGCACTGGGCAAAGGGGGGCAGCTGGCATGAGGTGTGTATGGTATATCGGTGTGCTAGGCCCAGAGATAACATGGCTTCCGGTGGCCTCACTGGGCGCCGCCATCTTTAATGAGGGCGGAAGCAGAAGGGACGGAACCGGGGGCGGAAATGGAGGTGACTGAGTTGGAAGCATCGGATATTGCATAGTCAGCTTCCGGTCCCATCCCTTGCAAATCTCCTCCCACCCCGGATTTTTAGCTGAACACCCCTTTCATATCCGGAGGTTTTGACTACATGGTATGCAAAAATCTGGACTCTCGGGGTGGGGCCTTCCTGTATTTCCACATGTCTCGCACCTCCAGGATGGGCCATCATCATAGGGGGATGGCGCCTTGCCGGGCGCGTTCTCCTTTCCTGTAATATACATATACGACTCCCCGTCCTGATTCAGCTTTTGCTCCACTCATGGTGTAGGGCGCGGGCCACATTAAACCAAGTTTCCGCTGTCTTTAACATGTTGTGCTTCATTAGAAACCCTTTCTTCTCTTTACACAGTTTCCTCCAATCCTCTGCCTGCAATCTTCCTCCGTTTTTACATGTTCCACCCAGTTTACTTAACTTCCCCAACCTTTTTGTGTATTCTCCCCCCTCTCTCTGCTCCACCAACTCGCAAGCAAACGAACTGTTCTCCGGCTTCGTAAGTTTCTGTCCCATTTTGTTTTACTTCCTACCTTTGGCTCGCCCTGACCATCCTCTGCCTGCTCCTTTTGTCTGACCTGCTGTTACCGAACCCGGCTTGTGACCCCATTACTCTTTGTCTACCGATCTGTACCGTCTGCCTCGCGTTTACCTACCCGGCTTGCCTGACCACGTCACACCTCTTTACATCTGGCTCCTACCCACTACACGCCATTGGCGGTTGCCTTTACCACGGTTGGTGTCACTCAGGGGTCGCGACCTGGTCCTGGTCTGCTTCAAGTCCATCCCCACCATTAGGGGCTCTGGTGAACCAGCAGACCTGGGCTTAGACTCCGCGCCCTGGGGGACTCCGGCCAGTGGGCCACTAGAGGTCGCCATCAGTGTTCGTGACACTGGGTGTAACAAGTCTGACCAGGACTGTAGTATTGGTTGAACAAAGCTCAGCTTACACATAGCCTGTCTGACCAAAGACTGCACTGCGTTTATACAATCCATTAGCACCTGTTGTGAACATGCTGAATAATGCTCCAAGAAGCAATCCACATCATCCTCCAATAACCATACCACAGACTCTACTTGGTCTGTACTAAATGGCGGCAAAAAGTCATCCCTGCTTTCAGGGGTACCAAATAAAGCCAACTCTGCACAAACCTGAATCAATGGTTGCACCTCAGAGAACTCCATGCCCTGATCTACTAGGAAATGAGTATGCATTCTAGCAGCTGCTATACTCCTGGTATACTCCTTCAGAGTCTGATAGGCATAATCTCTGTCATCTAGGACTAGCAGCGACAAATACACAACATCCTCAGGGTGCATCCTTCACAACAATAAGCCAAGATGGCTTCCCTGTGCAGCCACTTCTGGTCAGGACTGGCCTTGGTGTAATGTCAGGGCTCCGGGAATGACCAGAGGTGTGTGGACCGACACAGGGAAACACAGACTTCAGGTATAGCGTGTAAACAAGATAATTTATTAAGGACGCAGCGCAACAAACCAAACCCAAAACTAACACAAATACATACAACAAGGTGAAACAAACCCAAACCTAAACTGATATATATATATATATGTATATATATATATATATATATATTTATATATATGGAGCACAACGTAATCAGTCGGTAGCTAACGGGCAAACAGGGTACCAGGAGCGAGCGGAAGAGTGGTCAGGAATAGCCGAGGTCAGGACAGGCGGAGATCGTTCAGAGTCAGGATCAAAGCAGGATCAGGCAGGAAGCAGACAGGATG